TCTCCCCTCTCAGGTGCGGGCAGAGGCGGTGAGCGGGGGAAGTCCCCGCCCGTCGGCCTTCCCCCATGGTGGGCTTCGGGGCCAACCGGAGGGGCGGCCGTCTGCCTTCCCTCGTCTTCGTGGCGCTTCTGGTGGTGATCGCCATCCTCGCCTTCAACTGCTGGAACGCCTCGTCCCGCCAGGCCCTGCTGCAGGAGGAGGTGGCGGAGCTGCAGAGCCAGGCCAAGCGCACCGAGGTGGCCCGGGGGCGGCTGGAGAAGAGGAATTCGGACCTGATGGGCAAGGTCGACTCCCACAAGAAGCAGCTGGAGCAGAAGGAGGCCGACTACAGCCACCTGAGCAGCCAGCTGCAGGCCAGGGACAGCCAGGTGAAGAAGTGTGAGGACAGCAAGGTAAAGCAGAGGGTGCATCCAGTCCTGGGGTCGGCGGGAGGGGCTTTTTTTGAACTCTTTCTGAGCTTTCCTTCTCTGCTGAGATGATTTGATCTTGTGTGATCAGTCAAAAAGCTATACAGAGCCTTAAAACTGCAGTTTGCTTGGTCTCAAGGAAAATGAAACAAGCATAATGTTCAGGTGTAGCACTGCTGAGCTTGTTTTCCCTGTCTCACTCAAAATGCCTTGCACATCAGGGTCTGGTTCTTATGCAGGCAGCATATACTTGAAAAATTCTTGCTGCTAACATAATGTGTCATTTTCATTAGCCGCGAAGAGAAAAGCTAATACAAAATTCAGCTTGCCCTTTTATGTCGAGGTGGCCTGGGGATTTCTTTTGTTATGGAACGGAAAATGAGTGAATGCATCAACTTTTACTGTTCCACTTTAATAATCGTCACAGGCAACTCTTTACAGCGGAGTTAAGCAGACAAGTTCTTTTACTCAGTCGTGTATGGTGGTGTGTATTCTGTTTGCATGCAGTTCATAATTCTGCTAATTGAACAACACTTTTATCACAGTAGGATGTAGGGAAATACCACAGTCTCAGGCTTATTACTGGCTGAGTTTTTTCTGGCCCTTTCATATTACACATTTGATGAGCAGTATAAGAAAATGCATTTAATTGTCACGGAAAAATCTGAATATATATATGTCTCATTACAGAATTGCAGACTCCTTTGTATTAAGGTTATGTTTTCTTTCCTACTGAACCATTAAAATTAAGCCATTTGTGTGTTCAGCAAACATGTTTCTTTAATTTTTAAATTTTTTTCTGAGATTAGAATAAAAAGCCTGATTAAGTATGTAATGGTGGATACTGGTGTGCTCCATTGGAAATAAAAGCAACTAACACCATTGTGATTAAAAATATTGTGATACTATAAAACCTGGTTTGATTTATGAATAAGTATTTTATAGAGGTATCAATAGTTAAGTCTGAGTAAGTGAAGCTGAAAGATGCTTCCCCTTGTAGAAGACAGAAAACAAGTAGTTTTCTAAAGTGTTGAGGGGTTTTGTTATGTTCTTTGTTTGTGTTTAAATTGAACTTTTACATGCAAATGGAGGGCAAATAGGTTTAGTTGTTCATTGCCCTCTGATAAAAGCAAGCATCCAAAGATGGTAGTAGCTTGAAGACACAGGCTGTAGTCAGTGCACGGAGTTGGAACTCCCTTTCTCAGGCAGTTGAGGATACTAAAATAACATGAGTTCATGGCTAGGCTGGACAAATTAATGGAGGAAGTGCATTGAAGCCTCCTCCAAGCTTCAGACTGTTGGAGAAGTGGCCAAGGATATCCAAGTAACATAGGTGGGTATTTGTAGTATGGGTGTTCTTTATGTAGGTGAAGGTGACTGTGTGTTCCCATGATACAGCCTGTGTTCGTAGGGCAATGAACTTCAGTGCATTATTGTAACTGACCGACAGATGTAAAACTCCACTGGTGGTGTTCAAGTAAGCTATTAACTATTGGGCTGCATGGCAAGGCTTGCTTTTAATACCAGAAATTGGTATTTTTTGGAAATGTGGTGTCCTACAGTAAAACATTACAGGAGCCAATGCAAGTGTGAAGTCAGGGTGTCTAGCAAGGGTTACTGGAAGGCAGAGCCCACTTTGATGCACATGATACAAGCAGAGGTGCTGTTGAGTTGCCCCTACCTGCTGACCACTTTGTTGTTCTCCATAGATCTGGCTGGTTGCTGAATGCTCTCAGAGTCTGGCATCTCACAGGGCAGAGCAAGAGAAATGTGACCAGTAAACCTCACAAATTAATTTTATTGTTGATTGTGTGCATACTGCAGTGTATGCCTGTATCTTCATTCTTTGTTCCAGAAGCTGCCATTTAAGGCCATGTGAGCTAGTAGCTTTTGAATATGCTCTCTGCTTGTGTTCAAAACCTTCAATGTGCCTTAATAGGCAAGAATAGCAGTATGTTTTAATCAATAAACAGCCACTGTCCCTTTCTCTTTTCCTCCCATGTGAACTACTGTCATGTTCTCAGTGGTGACAATCCTATTTTTTTTCCTAAAGAAACCTTTTAAGTGACTTAACTTAGAGTAGAGAATAGAGCTCTGTTGTAGAGAATAAAGATTTGTTACAAAAACAATAGTGAGTAGTAGGCATATAGCGTCTGACCAAAAAAGGCTTGAATGATAATTTTTTCTCTTAGAATTTGGCAAGGATGTTCTTTGAACAAACTGTTTTTTACCAATAATCTTAGTCCATTTGTGAAATACAGGAACTATAATAAAACACCAGCACTGATAGGTCCCAGGATATCAGGAGATCACAATAAATCTAGGCTTATTTCATAGAAAACTCATTTGAAAGACGCTACTCCAGTGGTTATCGTCGTGTCAATTCTGCTTTATGCCCCTTTGTCTTCCTAAGAGATTCTTTGCCTTGTGGTCATGTAAATCAAGTGTGCATTTCCCAGTGTTGAGGCAACATGAATTTCTGCAGGCAGCTTCCTCCTAGCTCAGTGATATCTGTAGTCAAACGCAAACCCTTGTCTCTCCTCCCTCTCCCTGCATGCTTACCAAGCCAGTCACACTGCACCAGAATATTGTTTGCTCTTATGAGCAAATGTAGTAATGTGACCTACTGTCTTGTAGAAAGAAAAAAGAAAAACCATGAGTTTTTGAGAATGCTCTTATAACCCTGTGCTCATCTTGATGGGCTTGTGATGGTCTGCCAGACCTTGGAACAAACCAGAGGAGTGCTCCTCTTTTGGAGCTTCTCTTGGGAGGCAAACGGGGTTAGTGATTGCCCCAGTGTTTTGCGGGGGGGAGATACGTGCAGAGTTAGCATTAGTTTCCTGACTATTTCATGCTTTTTTGCAGCATGCAATGAGGAAACTTTTTTTCACAGCTCTATACATCCCTTTGCAATAAGCTCAATAAAATGATTGAATGGCAGGAATTTGTAGTGGAGAGCTTCCAAATGGCAACCATCCAGTGTGTGGGGGTTCATAGCTCTGTATGTGCTATTGCAGCTCTCGGGAGCATGCCTTTCTCATTCCAAAGCTATTGCTGGTGATGCCAGGTGAGCCCTGCCCCTTAGCTGATGCCTGGAAATGGTGCTTCATAGGATGAAACTGTTTAGTAAGGCATCCTTGGGAGCAGCTGGTTATGTTCTTTGTTGCCAAAACTCCTTGATAGCTCCTCAGTTTGCAAAGCTGTAGCTTTACAGCAGTGTTGTTGGGTGCATTTTCCAGTCTTACCGTGTGTTCCTGATGATCACAATGTCATCTCTGACGCTGTATTAATTGTGTGATGTCAATTCTGGAAAAGGCAGTTGTCAATAGTAGAAAGATTATGGAATTGTGGCGTGCAGACCCTTGTGCAAACAGACTTTCAAACAGCTTTCCTGTGCTGTTCCAGCAGGTGCCCTAGCAGTGTGTTGGGAATGCCGAAGCTTGGGGAGCTGCACAGAGGGGTATGGACACCTGCTCGCGCTGCTTCAACAGGCAGTTCGGGGCTGTTCTTGAGAGAGAAAGAAATGACTCACAAGGAAATATGCCTGAATGTCTACAGTTTACCACTTTGTCAGGAAGCAACACCACCTGTGTTCTGTCTTGCCATACACCGTGATAAACTCCAGCATGTTTATAACTTCTTTCCTTACAGTGCCTTTCATTATATGACAAGACTGTTAACAATTCAGACAGCACTGGAAGGTTGCCTTGCATGTACGTAGCTACATACATACACAGGATTTTTGATGTTTTTTCCTACAGAGAATTTCTTCTATACATGGCAACTGCTTTGGAAAGGATCTGAGAAGCCACTGAGAAATATGAAAGGTACAAATAGGTCTAGACTCAAGGAGGACACAGCTCAGAGAACTGGATGTGCGCCATGGTTTGTGGAGTGTGTTTTTTGCATGTGTAGGTGGAACAGATCCCATGAATCATAAAAAAGCTTCTTCCCTTTCTATCCTTCAGATAAGGGACATTTGCTGTCAGCTGAGCTGTTTTGGATATAAATTCTGTCACTTTTCTCTGAAACCCAAAATTGCCAAACTGAAAGATTGTGTGATAAAACTGATGCTATCTTCAAACCAAACTCCTGTTAACAGACAGGCAGCCCTCCCCCAGCCCATTACAAGTCAAACATTTTATAGGATGAGCAGAAGCAAGCTAGTGGGAAGGCTTTCTGTATCATGAATTCTGGTAGGTGAAGGTTTGAACACAGAACTCACTACTTCCCAGGATCTCCTTTGTAGATTTACTGGGTTCTGGGAAAGAACTGCATTAGAATGGAAGACAGGAAAAAAACTTGTCATTATTGCCAGTGGCTTTGCAAAATAGGGAAGGATACTTTTTCATTAACGCTGAACAAGTCCCTCTCTTTGTGTCTGTTCCCGTGTCCCGGTGTGCGTTCGATGGAGAGCTGGCAAGCTGGGCGCCTGTTGAGGTAGAAAGGCTCGGCGGTTACTTTCGTCTTGTGCTTCTGTGTGAAGTCCCCACCACAGGGCTTGCTTGAGCTTTTGAGATAAAGCATAGGAAAAGTGCTTGAGATAAAGCCAACACAGACTTTCGTTCAACTATTGTTCTTTGTGCATCCTGTAACTAGAGTGCCTTAAATGTCTTGGTGAGCAGAGCACACGTGTAACTGCTTCCCAAATGCGTGGCGCTCGGACATGCCGCGAAGGCTCCTTAGCTGTCCCTGCCGGGTGTTTTTATTTTGTATCATACTTCAGAGCAATATAGTCAGGGTTCTCAGGTTCCTGAAAGATTGCAGCATCTGCCACTCTTTCTTTTTTTGGGAAGAGCCTTGTGAAGTGGCTGGGCGTTCCCCCCGGATGTTGGAGCCATTGCGGTGGTGCCTCTCGGCGAAACCCTCCTGGCTTGTGTTCTCGGCCGCGGGGCAGGGTTTGCTGCCAGCACTGCCCGTGTGTGCATTGCTGCTAGGGATGAGCCAGGACACTGCAGTCTGGCACGAACAAAACTCTCGATAGAGCACTCTGTTTCATAAGGAGCCTCTATTATGTGACTGGAGCTGTTGGATGCGTGCCTCAGCGTACGCTCTGTTCTGCAGAAAATCACGATTTCAGCAGTTCTTGTATGGCCGTAGTTCCTAAAGTTATAAATGCCAGCCTCAACCCATATGGGACCAATTGAATCGGACAGTCCAGAGCTTGAGTGCCTCTTCCAAAACCAAAAACGTTATGTGAAACATTTTTAAAGGAGTGAGTAATTTGATAAAAGGAAAGGTAGAGGTGGGTGGAGGAAGTCTTGAGGTAAAGGCATACATCTTTTTTTGTTTGTTTTGACAGGAAATGTAGGTAACTGACTCAGACACTGAACTTCAGAATCTGTGTGGGAATTGGAGTAGCCTCTGTGTGTGTGTCCCGCGCCAGAGTAGGTGTGCTCGTACTTCATTCTGGTGTCCCGAGAGGCGGTTCTGACCGTGTAACCCAAGAATGACAGCCCTCTTCCAGCACCCTTTCTAGAGTTACTGTTTATACCGATCATCAAACTACAAGAAAAATAATTACAGCATCAGTGTTGCCTGATGACGGTCGTGGATTTTTTTCACCCTTTCTCAGGGTGTTCTACATGTGCATCTTTCTCTTAATTTCTGCTATTTTTTGTCTTTATATCTTTAAGAACAAGACAAAGCGTCTTTACTTAATGACTTTGTGTACATGCATTTCTTATTTATTGTAACTGCTATTTTTCTCCTTACTAAAAATACCAAATTAAAAGCTGTTGTGGAAGTCTACTGGTGTCAGATTTGCTCTTAAAAAAGTGTTATGAACATTAGGTAGCATCATGTAAAAACTTACTTTAAATATACATTGGGTAAAAATTGTTTCTGCTAATGATGCTACGTGTTTATTTTTATACACTTTCACTATGACCTTGGAAATTTGCTGTCTCCTTCTGCAGTATCAGAATGCAGTGTGTTTAATTTTAGTCCTGACAGAATCTACTTTTTGTCAGATAGGTATGTTCTGGAAATAAATTTAAGTCCTTGTAGCAAAGCCTAAATATAGTGTTTAGGTTGGTGATATCATTTACAGATAACTAAATATACACTACTTATATTTACAAGAACTTTGTATATGTTGTTCTGATAATCCTTTACATACATTCATTGTTTTCAAAGACAATGTAAAGTGAAAACAAACGCACCTGAGTCTTCACAGTCTAAACCTTCTCTATTCTTCTGCTGATTGTCTATATAACCATTTCTTCCTTTCAGATGAAGCTGCAGAACAACATATCCTATCAAATGGCAGACATACATCGTTTGAAGGGTAAGGAGTTTATGGCCAAACTGTGAATTTTTTTTTTTTGGTGTTTATTTTTTAACTGCCTAGGTACTGCAGAATACATTTTAAATAAAAGATCAAGTGACGCTGGAACATTGCATAATGTGAAATTTCAGTGTATTTGTTTATTACCTAGGCTGGATAAGCGTAGGCTTGGCTCTCGCAGACTTTGCTCTACTGGCTGCAGAAAGAACCTCTATTCTGGTCCTGCTTAGTTCCAGGGTACTGGAATCATTGTCATGACCAAATACACAGTTTAGTATTCTTTGGATCAGCAACATTGTGATACTTACGCTGGATCAGAAAAGGTCCAGAAAATGTCTTTCAAGGCTGTTATATATAGATATGATTACAATGCCTGTAATCTTACTGTATGGCTTTCATAGTGACCTGGAACAGCTAATGCCAAAATTTGTACATGCCTGCAGATAACATTTGTCATTTCTGCCTCTATCTGTGTAGTTGCCACTTAAAACAGTAGGAAGCCTAACAATTATTTGTAGACTGAGGAGCAGGGAGAAAAACTGCCAGAGCAATTACTTATGAAGACAGGAAATATGTGTTGGTTTTAGTGTGAAGGTACATTCTTTTGTACATTTGTTGCAGAAAAAGCATATTTGACCACTGTGCCTAAAGTAACCTAGTAGTATTTTTGTGTTACTCAGAGTGAAGTAGCATTGTGTAAGTCTTCTGAATGAAAAGGTAAAGAAAAATGTAGGGGTTTTGGCATAGTATCAGAAGAATTGTTCTATAATTCATAGTGACGTCAGGCATACAGGAGTAAATTGGCATCTTTCTCAAGTTAGTTTAAGAATCTTTAAAGTATATCTAGAAGAAATAACATAAAAACTGGAGCGAATTTTGAACTTCTATAGCAATGCTGAAAGCTGTATCTAACATGGGGCATTTTTTCTTGTATTTCTGTATTCATGTTGACTCTGCTTTTTGGTCTAGAACAACTCGCGGAGTTACGTCAGGAATTCATTCGCCAGGAAGATCAACTTCATGAGTACAAGAAGAACAATACTTACCTTACAAGGAGATTGGAATATGATAGGTATGTCTTCAAGAATGTTAGTAACTGTAGGTTTGTGTGTGTGTAAGGTTAAGTCTGTATTTATTAAAAAGTGCAAATTAATCCTATTTCTGCTAATCCTGAAATTTGAGTATACTCACTTAGTGATGTAATAACTTTGACTTAGCTGTTTGATTTGCAAGTTCTATTTTTTGTGTCATTCTACTCCTCCCCTTTAAAGTGAGGTATGGTCTAAGAAAAATCTGACTTAATAGAATTGTTCAGCATTGGACAATTTTAAGTCAATGCATTTTTTTATAACATGGAGATCTTAGTTAACAAATACATGGAAGATTTTAATCAACACACCAGGACTGTTATTTTTCTAGAAGTGTAATTTTATTTTTTTTCCAACTGAAGTTGAAACTATTGTGTAGATTGAAATTTTAAGTTGACCTCAGTCAACTTTTAAGTTCATGGTGGAGAAACAGGGAGAACAACTACTTCTGAAGCCTTGAGGAATGGGGGAGATTAACACTTGCGAAAATGTTTGAAACTTTCACACACACACAAAATATCCTTTACCCTCTGTGTTATGTGGAGTATTTGTGGGTTTGTGGGAGAAAGGAGTTTTGTTGAATTGGGTTGATCTCTGTGTGGCTTGTTAGAGAAGTTGGGACACTTTGTGTCATTCAGATGTTGAGTTGGTAGCAGTAACTGATAGCAGTAGTTGTGCATCTTCTGTGTTGACAGCCATGGGACATATATTGCTTTCCTACTGGAATTAATATATGCTGATGACAGATTAACTGTGAAGCTTGAATTTTCTATCACTTTCCAGGTTTTGGAGGAAATATGTTCAAGGCCATTCTGTTTATTTTACTGTTTTTCTGCTCTGTCCTTATTTTTTTTCCAGTTCTGCTTTCTTTCTGTATTCAGTCCATTTCCACTCCATACACTTTCCAGGACAAGGCTTTTTGGACAGACTATTCTAGTTATATCTCAGGTTTGGCTTTTTGTGCCACTTCGTATTTTTCCCCCTATTTTATTTATGGAAGAGCAGATACAACAAATGAAATATAACTAATAATGTGTTTCTGATCAAGTCTGCAGTGTGGGCAGCAGATCAAGGAGATGAGACTGCAACATGAAGAAAACATAAAGAAATTAATGGACCAAGTTGTGCGGGAACAAAAGGTAATGCGCAGCTACGTTTCTCTGTTGAATTAGGCGAGCCTGAAGCCTGCTGTTTGACTCAGCATTTCGGATATATGGAGGCCTTGGACATTTGTCCCCTCACTTTTCGTTAAATATAGTCCGGAGCAGCCCTAAATAAGTGTAAGAACATTTGCCTGTTTTGCTCAGTCAGTGAACTGAGCCTTGAAGATCAGGCTTAATTCTTTACTCTCCTACAGCCTTCCTGCGTGACATCATTGCTAAGGATTTTGGTTTCTTCTCTGTAAAATGGATGTTGCTTTATAGCTCTCCAGGGTAGGATCTATGTTCTTACAGCCTTCCACAGTTTATCGCAAAGGGAAACCTGATCTCTGTTGAGGCCTCGAGGTGCTAATGTGATGCAAATAACAATGGTATTTGAATGGTATCAAGGGTGTAATTACGTGGTGCAAGCTGCCAGTAGAATATGGGCATCTTTCCTACAAACAGATGAAATAACCTGCTTTTCTTAAAATTTCATTTCCTTTGTCCCTGTCTACAAACATTTCAAATAATAAGGCAGACTTGAAGTAGGGTTCAGTCAGATCTTTTCTTAAAATCTAGAATTCTTTCAAAGCCTCTGACCTGAGGCTTAAGGCCGATGATGTCTTAACCTGTTTGCCTTGTACTTAAGAGCTACATATGCCAATATAAATGTCACACAGCCATGCTGTATTTTACATTTTCTGTTCAGCTACGTGTCCATACTCTCGTCTACCCTCAGGGTTCATATTTGTATAGAGGGGGCTTCTGCTGTTGTTTGCTTTGATCATGTAATTCATAAATGCGATTTTGCTTACCCAAAGTAGTCTTGAATTTGAGGGGGTTTGTTTTGTAATTTTCAGGGATGTGCTTAATATTGATTCTTTATGAATTTATTCTAACAGGCCACACAAAAAATCCAGTCCAGTAAAGACACTGAAGTAAGTCCTAATAACGATGACCAGGCAGTATCTAAGACTGTTCCAGAGGCAGAAGATAAAAACACAGTGAAGAATGAGCAGCCTTCAGATCATGTTGTAAATGGCAAAGGTATTTCTTTTTTTTTTTTGTCATTTCTGATAAATAATGGGCCAGTTGTGTTGCATCCTTTGCTATCATACAGAATGGTGCATTTCTTATTAAGTAGAACAATGAATTATTTGGCTCAGATAAGTTCATTAGCTGCATGTGATTGTACTAAATTAGAGTTCACAGGTATCCAGAGATTGGCATGTCCTTTCATGAAAGTAGTTTCTTGCACAGTTTTGTGTTCACTTTGTCGGTTTATTTGACATCTCCTTCCTCATGTGGCCAGTTGTGAACTAGAGATTGGCTCTCTGCTCCCTGTGAGATGTGTCTTGGGGTGAGCTAGGGAAGGGGCTTCTTGGAGACCTGGAACCTGCACAGAGAAGGTGGCTGGAGGTGAGGAATGTTGAAACTGCTGTGAGAAGTCTCTAGCTGGGTAAGTCAGCAGGAGCAGTGGGGACGTTTTGGTTATCAAGAGCTGTTCAGGAGGCTCTCTGAGTAACTGTTGCAGTTGTTGCCTCCCTCTAGGCCTCTCCAAAAGACAGATGGGTTCTTTTTGTTTCTACTTCTTATGCTGCTGAATCAGCACCTTTTTGTATCAGTGTCTGTTCTGGCCAGCTTCTTGCAGCAGGCTTTTCCTACTCTGCTACCAGGAGCAGTGCATCTGCTTCCCATCCCTTTCTGAAGATCGCACTGACTTTGGGAGCCCTGCTCCAAAGCAGTCTTCAGTGACTTTGACAGTACAATATAAGGAGTGTTGTAGTTGCATTATCAATATGGGATGTGTTCTGTGGATAAAGGACTTTTCTTCTGGTCTTAGAGCCTTCCACAAGAGGGAAATTCACTGTTCAAACTTGAAGGTTAATAAGGCAGAATATCCTATTCTTGTCTTACAGAGAAAATCAAACCAGGAGGAGATGCAGGCATGCCTGAAATAGAAGATAATGACCCTGCTAAAGCTGAAGATACTCCCATGGGTTAGGAGAAATATTCTAATACTTTCACATTTGGGTTCTTGGTGGCATACGTGTTCTGTTTGAATACCATGTGTTTCGTAGTGAATGCAAAGTTTTGAAAACGGTGTACAGTAATAAAATTCAAGTGGGGTGTAAAATCTGATAATTTTTACTGTGCTTTAGAGGTTCAAATTCTCAAAACTGAATGCTTCTGATAATTCTCCCCCACCCCCCGAAATCTTGTATTTTATATTTTCATCTATGGTTTAAAACCAAGAAAAGAACAACAAAAAAGTTTGCAGGATTGTTAGAGGAAGACCTGGTATATAGTGTCTGTTTGTTTTGTGTTGATGCTTTTGTCCTTATGTTTTATTTTAGCTTTAAAGAAGCCACTTATTTCAGCTCCTAAAAGTGAAGGTCATCAACCTGTTATAAATCTTCCAACTGAACAGCCCCATGCTCCAAATCTGGCAACAGGTAAAATTCTTATTGGCTGGTGACGAGTCAACATTTTATAGGAAACTTACCATTTAATATCTGCTACCATATCATGAATGTCAGACATACATGGCCAGCCCCATTTTTGTGTTCGATGTGGTTACAAAAAGACAAACAATGATGAATTTCTGCAGGATACAAGATTGAGTGTATTCTGAGTCTGGCCTCCTGAGGCACTGAGGTTGCTGGTGATACAATCTCTCTTCGTCCTTCCCAACACCCCCTAATTTCTGAGCCTTTTGACCAACTTCAGCCAAATTTGAGAGTTAGAACTTTCAAAGGCAAGTGTTTCAAGATTTCTCCACTGGACAGAGGAGAGTAATTGAAATTAGTACTCCTCCTTAGGGGTACTAATTAGACTGGGCTGCAATGTGTCAGGAGTTGATTGTTGGTCTAGTGGTAGTTATAGTTGGAGAATAAACAGTGTGGTACTGTTGCTTGCTTGGTGTCCTATTTCTGTGAACAGCTCGCTTGAGGGTGACGTGGGGAAGGTTTAGGACATGAGAGCATTGAAAGTACTGCAGTGAAAGGGTTTAGAAGAATTGCAGTTAGAAAGTACACAAATCCATTGAAAATATACTTAAATTTAATGCTTGTGGATCAAGTCACTTTGCTTTAATGTCAAAGAGAACGTTAGGTTGTGGCATGTTCAAATACTGGCCTGCTAAAAAACATTGAATACAATGTACTCAATTATTTATTTGTGACATGACCAAACAGCTTGAAGCTTTTTATTATGCCCATTATTGGTTCTTTTGAAAAAAAGACAACGGAATTATTTTTTAATTTCTTTCCTTTTGCAGTAGACATGTAAGCAGATTAGAATACCAAAATCAGTGAGCTCAAAGTCTGTATACACATTTAAAGTTTATTTCCAAATGTCAAATCTTTTAAATAGTTTGTTTCTTTTTGTTGTTCTGAGATAGACCTTCATTTTGACTTTTATTAATGAGAAAACATAAAAGATAGCAAGTGAAATTTGCTTTGTTGAATTTAGAGTATATCAACAGAAGGTTGATGTGAATTTCCAGGGGATCAGGGTTTTCTGTATTCCTTCGTTTTGTAGTCCTGTGATTCTGCTTATTATTTTTAGCATAACTTCTGTGACCTGCTGCAACCTTCTCAGATCATAGCGCTTGAAACAATAAGTGGTGCTTAGTAGATTTGAAAAGCAGAATCAGCAGGAGGATATAAAAATACAGAAACGTATTATTGTCCTGGGCTTCATCAAGTGCTTAAGTACATACAGAAAATCACCTGAGAAGGTAACAAATTAGGATTGATTATGTATTAAAATGTGATGCATTAGCTTTTGCAGTAACGTTATAGCCTTCTTTTGGAACCATATAAAAACCGAATATGCTTTCTCATTCTGTAGGACTGCACAGTGACAATGATGGAAATGCTGATATTGCAAAACAGATACCTCCAAATTCTCTCCAGCACTTAAATTTTGAAGAAAATATGGAAAATCAGAAAGAACGCAAAATTGAGACAGACCATATAAAAATCCCAAAGAACAGAGTTAGTGACTTGCAGAAGATGAAGCAAAGTAAGTTGGCCAGTATCATATACTTCAATATATTAAGAAAATCACTTCATTTTCTATCTGTAATAGTGTGTGTCTGGAAAATAGGAGCCATTACAGCAGGTGGCCTTCTGGAGAGTAAGCCTGAAAAGAAACGTAACATGTTACTGTGTAAAAGATATGCCTTAATGTGTCACTTTTCATATATATATTCGGTCATTAAAAAAAAAAAATTTTGCTTATAGGAATTTGAACTGCTTTTGGAATTTATTACCCATTTAAATAGATTAAGCCAAGACTTTTGATACATGCATGATACTGAGTGACTTAGTCACACTGGATTACTTGACTTAAATATGATGTTTTGGGCAATAGCACAAGAATTTAGCCCTTACATAGGGGGTCTTTGTGGTGCAATGTGTGTATTGGCCAGAAGTTTGTTCTTCTGTGAGAGGAAGTTTTCCAGAACCTTTCTCTTCCATGTCTGCTCAAGGAAGAAGCCTTCAGACAGGAGCAAATCATGTATTTGTTTGTGTGTGATGGTGGTAATACTGCTGAGGCTTAGTGGGCAGACAGCAGGTAAGAACTTGCAAATGCAGGTACAGTTGTCTGTGTACTGTTGTTTTTGAGACGCGTCTCTACCTTGTGGCTGATACCGTAATGTTGGGAGAGTATTATGCCTACAGCGTTTGATTTAGCGTCTTCCTAAAGAAACTGTTTTCAATATAATATTCCTAATGGTATCAGTGGAGATACTGTGCTCCGAAGTATAGTATAGAGTATACTGACTAGGTATACCTTAACCTAGTTACTTTTAAAGAACTAATTCAACTTCTTTAGCATTTGAGTGGGGAAAGGGGCATCTGGAAGAAAAAACATAGTACTGAAACATTGCCTCTTGTTTTTTACCCAACTAAGATTTTTTTTTTTAAATTATATAGCTATTATAAATTCAATTTTAAATTTCTTTGTACTCACAGATAAGTAGCTTTCACTTAGGCTTTGGTTTCTATGATTAACATGGGTCTGTATTCCCAAGATGACAAGTTGTTATATCAGACCAGCCACACTCAGAGTCACAAGAATTGAGAGGAAAAAAGGATTCTATAGCATCCTGCCAGAAACCTTTGTTAATTCTGTGGACTGGATAAACAGTAGTACAGAAATAGCAATTTTGTTGACATAGAATCATGAATTGGTTTCAGTAATCAATGAAAAATGAATTCTGAAACTTAGGGTCACTCTTGGGAACATGAAACTATGCATTCATTTTTGTCTCAAAAGGTTTAGTTTGGGAAGTTCCCTTTGTTTAAGTTGTTGCAATTCCTTTTCATGGTCTAGAGCTTGACTGGCACTTCTGTAGCTTAGAGAAATTGCAGGAAAAAAATGTCAGCTTCTAGCAATCTCTTAAATATTCCTTGAATAACAGAGAAATAAGTTTAAAATAATACTCCATTTATTCTTGTAAAATATTTTAGTTGCTGTTCTGAAGCAGAGGTTAAATTAAAATGGGGCCTGAGAGCACATAGATTGGCTAGCAGATAGCTAGCGTTGTGTGCGTTGGCCTAAAGGGGTGTACAGGGATGTGGGAGTTCAGTGCGTCCATTCCTTCTCCCCTCAACCCCTGGAGGCCCCCAACGGGTTGGAGGCTGAAGCCTGTAGGTAGTGCCACACCTCATCTGAGAGGTTTAAGAAGCTACCTGAAATGGCTTCTGAACCATCTACAACTTTGAGAGGTACCGTCGTAGCGCAAGATGACATGCCTTTAGAAAGTGAATGGAAGGAGGATTGAGGAGTTCTAGAGACCCAGCAGCCTAGCTTTGATATCTGGAAAGGTAATGGAACAAATTCTCGATCAGTTTGAATGTAATACGACAAGTGGTTAACATGGATTTTTCAAGAACAGAGATTGTGTCAAAGTGATACAAACTGAAAAGTACATATTCGAAGGAATGAAAGCAGTAAAAACAGGAACGTGACTCCGTCGTAGGCAAATTAATGGAGGCCTGGTTAGGAATAACAAGCTATTTGGTGGGTGCACAACTTTAAGAAAAGAGTATTCCAGGCATAGGTGTCAGAGTTTTACTTGAAGAGCTTCTGTGAGGTTTACAAAGATGCAGCCTTTGCTTGGCACCGTTTGGTATTTTGAGTGCTGGGTGATAAACAGTATATGAGATGTGGTTTACAGAAACGTAAAAGCTTGTAAACATAGAAGTAATCCACAATTAAGAATGGAGAAGTACATGCACGGAGTAAGTGACAAACAGCAAGTGAGCAGCAGTTCAGTCAAAACCAATGTGGTCAACACTGGGTATTAGTTACTAACAAATGTTTGAAGTGAGGTTTTTCTTCTGGGATGTGTTAACAGGAATGTCAGATAAGATCATGAGATGGAGTTACTAACTGTTTTAGCTAGTGCTTGTGAGGCCATCCTCTGGCTTTAAGTACCAAAGAAAGATGACGGAAAGCTGGAAGGAATTCCAGGGAGAGAGAGGGGAAAAAAAAAAAAAAATCAGGGAGGGAAGGTAGTATGAGGGGAGAGTAGCTCTAAAATAACTCAGGTTTGGTAGGTAGGGAATGGACATCAATTTACTGTTGGCTTTTTTTTTAGAAACAGTTATTTTAATATCACTCATGGATTAAGTGGGAATAGATATATTCAAAATTGGCATGCAACCTCTGCAAGCTTTTCTTCCATTTTGTGCATCCTGAGATGTGCAAGACTACGTAGTTTCTCAAAGGAGCTTCTTGAAGATCCTTTGCTTGTCTGACTTGAGCCGCTACGGCTGAAGTGACAGAGCCTCCTGCTCCAGTTGTTGGGGTTTTTAAATGGATTGGCTGTCTTCCCTGGTAATGGATTAAATGGTGGCAGCTACCTCTGTAGGCCGGAGCAGTGAATGTCACCATCGTAGGCTGTGAATGGGTGCCTAAGAGCCAGTGATCATCACTGATTAGTCTTTTCCTTTTCTCTTTGCTCCTTCTTATTTGGAATAACTTACATTGTAATGATGCGGTGAGGGAGAGACTTTCTGTATCACATATGGAAATAGCTCACCCAGGTTTGCAGAAGATTTATTTCCTGATTGATCAGCAGTGGGTGTTCTGAAAGGTCTGTTGGTGATGAATTCAACCCTCTGGTGTAGAGGCACCCTGCACTGGCACACAGCTTTCCCTGTAGGCACTTGCCTGGCTGAGGTTTTGGTTACTGAGTGCTTCAAAACCTGCTATGCATCAGCCCGTGGGATGGTAACCATCATTGGTCAGGATATCCTTCATATCTGTCTGGTTTCAGAGTCAGAGAACTTCTTCCCAAAAGATGTTTTCCTTTTTCATAGCATAGATTTAGAAAGTAACTTCAGTATTAGGCACAGAGATAGGCACACTGCAGCCCTTTGGTTTCAGAAGCAGCAGAACCTGAAAGTGATTGCAGCAAGGTTGCTATTTGTGCTCCTACCTGGAACGTGGAAAAAACCTGTGTGCAGCAAACCTCCAGTCCATGCTGCTGTTTAAAGTTGTCCTGTAAGCAGGTCCTTAGTGATGAGCATGTGGACAGCTGCTCTGAGTAGCGTGCTTGTAAGGATCCAGCTTGGAGTAATATCACATGTGTCTAATCAGAATTAATTTCAGCGAATGTTACCTGGAGATTTTAGCATCAGTGACATCCTTATGGGGCATCCCGTGCTGTCGCTAACCTCTCGTGCTTCATGACAATGTATTCACTGTGTCTCAAATAGTCAGTTCGTATATTGCCTGCGTGACGGGCACTGACTCGTGGTTGGAGTGACTGGAGAGATCTGCAGTGCCATCAGGACTCAGATCTTGTCCGTCTGCTTCAGACAGCAATTGGTGCCTTGCTGGCTCGAGCTACCAGGGACTCCTGTTCTGGTGTTTGCCTAAAGGCTTGCTATCCCAAGACCATTGTATGTGCCCTGTGTTAAGAGCATTGATGTTCTCCTGGTGTGTGCGAGAAGTCATCTACTGCCTAAACCTTTTGTACACCTGACTCTGCACGCACAGGCAGTGGAGTTGCTGGCAAGACCGCCTACCCAAAATGACTGCTGCTGAGGTTTGTGTGCTCAGCCTTTCCTCCCTGGATTTGAAGTAGCTTGAGCTAAAGTACTGAATACTTGATGTGAATGAAGCACCTGTAGCGAAGGAGTAGCTGCATCCTGAAGCTGTGCTGGAATCCGAGCTTGCCAGGGCAGTCCTGGAGGCTGGGGTGCTCCCGTGAGCCCCAGCTCACAGACCTCTCTGGGCCAGCTGTGTTTCCTAGGATCTCTTTCTAATATTTTAACATTTCCTTCTGTCAGCTTCAATTTATTCAGTAATTGTCACAGTACTTTTGGCATATCGACAGGCTCATTTTTTTCTAAGTTGAGTGCATTCAGTTTTCTTTCCATAGCTTGTTTTATATTTAACCATGTGTGAAATGTACAGTTCTGTCTGCTTTTTATATATAATGCAGTGTCCAAAAATACAAACAATAAAATCAAAGATTACTGAATTAGAGATGAATAGAGAATGAGTAATATATTAAACTTTTGATTTTGAAACAGATCATAGTTTCATCTTGCTTATTTAATGAAAATAACAGAAACTTCTGTTTCTGTACATTTGAGCTGCACTATATGTGATTCTTCTGCTTTTCTTTCCCACCCAGATAAGCACTATGTTATTGTTTCTGTCCTGATTTTTATATACTGCCATATGTGATAGTTTTCATTGTTTTAAGAAATATTTTCATTTTTACATCTCTCCATGTAACCAGCCTCCTTTTTAATCCTAATGTCGAAATCATATTCTTCAGTTCTACTTCGCTGTTTAATTGCTTCCACTGCAAATCACTTAACATTTGCCTTGGCAGACTTTTTTCTCAGTCCGTTTCCAGTCTGTAAAGATTATATCACACTTTAATCCTATTTTTTTAATTTATACATAATCCTTCCAGACTTGTATCCTCCACAGACTCAGTGTCGCATTCTGAACTGCATTGGACTTGAACAGATCTCCTTGTATCGCATTAAACACCAGCTCTGAACTTGACATTACACCATTAATCTTTCATCATGTACTTGGTTGACTGTAGTCATTTCATAGCTCCAGCTAAATCTCATTTTTCTTGTGCATTGTTTCAGTATCTGGAACTATTCTTAATTCTTTACTGGGAGACAAAAATACTGGATTCAGAACATTTTGAAAACTGTTAAAGCTTAATAGGAAACCAGAGTGTAAAGCCAAATTAATTAGTTAAAATCAGTTCAGAGATGCGAGGCAGATCTTTGCTAGATTTTTACCCTTGACAATATGGTACACGTTCTGCAGACCTTACAGTATATGCAGTCAGCAATATATTGCTCTGTTGTTTGTAGAAAAATGCCAGTCCTCAGAAAAATGTCTAGATACAAAAACTTTCTCTGTATGCTCTTCAGCATTTTAAGAAAACTTGTATTAGTGTTTGTAGGTAATCAGGTGGAGCTTTTTTTGCTTGCTCTAGCTCTTTTCTCCTAAGAGTGAAGCTCGTAACAATCAGGTTTCACAAGATCCAAGTGCTGAATGACCGAGTACAGACTTTTTGCACGGAGGTGTTCCATAAGCCTTGTTATTCTCCCCCAGCCCTTGCCCTTCTACGCCCTTTCTCCTCCAGCTGAAACTACTACAATAAACCCGCCTATCTTAACCTGCAGTCTGCTTTCGTTTAGAATCTTCCTATTTCTTTCCTCTCTGCTTCTGACTTAATCATTTGCCTACTTCACAGGCCGATTCTTTGATGAGAATGAATCCCCTGTTGATCCGCAGCAGGGTTCTAAACTGGCAGATTATAATGGGGATGATGGTAACGTGGGTGAGTATGAGGCAGACAAACAAGCTGAGCTGGCTTACAATGAGGAAGAGGATGGTGATGGTGGAGAAGAAGACGTCCAAGGTGAGCTTGGGCCTTATCTCCATCCCATTGTAATAAAATCCACGCCGAGTTTACTTGTTGAATTTGTGTAAAGTGTAGCTATTATTAGCTGATCAAAAATTTCCGATACAGAATAAATAAGCTGTACGCAATCCTAAAAATTCGGTCTTGCTCTCCGTTTGAAAGCGGTGTTATGTTACAGCAGTTTTCAGTGAGAGCATGTTGATACCTTATTTCAGTCGTGTATACAGTTTCTGCTAGGAAAATCAAGACACTTCAAATTCCAGAAGTGGTTTTGTGTGAAACCCCAAATCTGGTTCCTAGCTAGTTGGGATGGAGTCTTCGACATTACTAAAGCAGTTTTCAAATACTGAAGCGTAGTGGGTTTTTTTTGACTACTGCTTTTGTCCCACCTGCCTTGAGGTGGTATGCAGGGGGGTTTCAGTTAACAATTCTAAGTGTAATTTTTGTGTATCGTACACAGATTCAACAGGCTTCTGGTTTTCCTTGCTAACCAAACTGCAAAACTCATTAATCTGGTGCTAGCGTGATACCCGTGTGTGCATGTTCACCACCTCGTTCTGCATGCATTTTTCGGTGCAGCGCCTCTCCATTGCTTGTCTGCCATGCATCTGCCACGTTGTCTACCATTTTCCATCTAGTTGTTTGGTAACATTTTGTGAAAAGCGTGCATGTCTGTAGGGTGAAAATGTTTATGTAAACATATATAGTATTACCAATTAAAGAAAGTGCAAAATAAAAGAGGGGAAAAAGAAAATAAAACATCCAGTTGAAGTTCTACAGGCACTCCAATTTTGATCCTCCTAATGCAAGTTTTTTAGCTGGTAGTTTTTCAGACATGTATTTAATTGGTATCCAAGCCTAATTAATGGGAAAAGCTAACAAAAAGCAACTAATTTCTGTGTGCGGGCATCTAACTATGCAGTGTAGGCATTTTTTGGCTGGGCTGGTAGTTTGAAATTCATGAACAAGCAAAAGAAAAGTCTGGATCAGAATCCTGGGCAATTAATTAACTTATCAATGAAAATGAAAACTCTGCTGCTGCTCTGGAAGATGAGGCCTGTTTTGTTACATGGTTTGCTCAGAGCTGTAGCAGTGGATTTTAGTTACTCTGGGTTGCCAGCGCCTCTTCCCCTGGATGGGTCGTTGCTGGGTTGCAATTTGTGTGGACAAGAAGGTACAAAAGTATATAGAGCGTCTTCTGTCGGTGCTGTGCTGTGGAACTAGGAGACTTGCTTCTAAAGATTACAATCTTGTAGAGAAAAGGAAAGCATGGTATGTCGTGCATGTTTGTACGTCTAAGCTCTGCTCTGCAAATCCAAGCAGTTGTGTGGGCTGGGTTTTTCCTTTTCCCAGTTCGGTGCCCCTTACTGAGCGGCGGCTGATGCCTGGCTCCTCGCCGCAGTAGCTCCTTACCTGGACTCGAGGATACAGTTCTCGAAGCAGTAACCACGTAACAGTTACTGAAGCTGCGCTAACTTCTGCCGTTTGCCTCACTCAGCCCTCGGGCTCGTCTTTACGCGCAGCCGCTGCGCTGCTGACCAGGAGCCTGGGCGCAGGTGGGCCGCCCAAGCGGCGCGGGGCTGCAGCGCCGTCTTCCCGCCAGCCGCGGCTCTTCTGTACCGCGAGGCTCCGTGCTCCTTTCCTTATTGGCACGAATACGTTGCTGTGGTGGCCTCTACAGGGGAACTAATGGCTTTAGGTAGCAAGAGCTGGTATCATGTATGCTGTGAACTATTACCGGTAGCACGAACAGCGTTCCTGTATGCCACTTAGGAAAGGGTGGGTATGATAGAGTAGCAGGTGGTGGAAAATTGTTTAAAATGGTAGAGATTGTGCTTATGGAGCTTGCCATGCAAGGGATATTTAAAAAAAAAAAAAAAAAGCTGTAACTGAAAGTGGCCTCACAAAACTGTTTCCCATTTTGCTGTGGTACCTGTCAGTTCACTGCTCTGGTGGCTTTAACTTTGAACTTGGTGAAAATCTTTTTTCTGATCAACCCCTCTGTATATCTGTATAGATATAATGGATTTAATATCTGGTAGTAAAGATTAAAGAATGTCTTCTGGAAGCCTTTTCATGAAGAATAGTCTGAGCAGCCTGTGTTACTACCTCAGACTTAATTTTCCAAGCCCTTTGTTATGTTGTTTCCTAATAACTTGTTGACTTGATTTGATAGAAGTCAAACAGCATGGCAAGTGATGCTTCCAGAAGTACCATTTTAGAAAGTGTCTGCTTTAGTCTTTACACAAATGTCTTTGCAGGGTAGGAGAGGGTAGAATTATGGGGGCTTGGAGGGAGGGTGGTTTTAATTGTTTAGGGAGGGGAAAAAAACCTGAATTTCTGTCTAAAAACTACTAGAAAAACATCACATGGTTTTGCATTAGGCTGGAACCAAGCATGTGGCATGTGCAAACAAAGCAATTTAATTAAACATGTTTTTCTGTTGCTGCTAGAAATGCGTGGGCCCTAGATTGAAATTATCAGAGGAAAATACACAAATTTGGGAGATAATCCCATGTGAATGTCAGTACCCAATCTGGCATTCCTCCTTCCAGTCCACCTGTTCCAAATGCAAGGTGATACTTCAAAGTTGTTGGCTTCTATGTTGTTGTGGTGGCTGGATGGTGGAGGATTATATAAATCAAGTGATACCCACATGCTGTATTAGTAGTTTATTACCAGACAAAAGCATCTGTGGTGTGGATAACCTTCAGCCTTCTGCTGTTGGGTGTGGGCTACCGTTGGGCAGGCTGATGAGTGATGGTTGTGGCAGTGTTGAAGAGCTTCAGACAGCTTCTCATCTAGTAAAAGACCTGGTCAACTTCAAATTTGCTTTCCAAATTCCTGTGAACAAGCATCTTCCCTGCATATAAAGCAACACAGCTTTGAAATGCAGCAAAAGCTTGTTAATTGAAACAAACTGACATTTTAGGGCTCCTTTGCTTATTGAGGGAAGAACGCTGGGGACCCACACGGGAGAGAGCTGAACTATGGCAGGTAGAATGCAGGCTATGTAATACATTTTAAAACATCACTTGAAAAAAATACTCAATGTGCATTTTCTTGACGTATTTTTTGTATGTGCTACAGTAGATGGTTATACTGAGGATGCACGAGGTTGGTTTTTTAATTTTATGATTTTTCATGAGCCTCAAAAACCAAAACCCAAGGGGTAGAAGTCAAGATGTAGGACAGAGTAGAGTGGTGGAGAGAGATAGTTGTTCTGGATCTGAAAGACAAGGTGAAACATCTTTGTGCTTCCAGTCAAGGACAAAGCTGTAAATCCATTGTTAAAGATGAACCAAATGCAGCGGAGAAAGATCTGGCGCTCCTCAAGTGGCCACTCGGCATCGGTTGCGGGGCCGCGTACAGTGCGTCGCCCGTGCCTGGCTCCTGCTGCGTTTCCTGGCTGAGTGTGCAGCTACTCTGCAATTCAAGAGAAGATGTCTTGACTGGTGGGCTGAGTGCTTGCCACGTAGGAGCCTGGCTAGATGGGTTTGTTTCGGCTGTGAAGAGTAGTGGTGAAAAACGTATTGTTGATTCTTCAGCAGTGCGGAGAGGCAGAACAGGGATTTCTGTTGATAAAAGGTGTGAAAAGGTGGAGAGCTCCTTTTGCATTTTTAAAAGTCTCTCCTCAAATTTTACCCTCAAGTCTGAGATACGAGATAGTGGTATGTAAAAATGTTGACAGCTAAGTTAACTCCAGCATCGGTAAAAATTCCATCACTGAAAAATGTGCTGAACCATGTCTGTGTGCAAGGGATCATTTTTCAAATCTGAGAAGTAGGTGGAAGAAGTACTAGCTTAGCCTGGAGGGGGTCATACAGAGTTCTCTGTGCTCATCCCATGAGGTACCCAACCTTGGCAAAATCTTAGACTGTATTAACTCTAGAATGGGTTAAAAAATGGCAGTGTAACTCTCTGAAGTAGTTGACTTTGTAGTTGGGCTTTAGTGGGAGAGTTCGAAACCTTTACAGGAAGATTCTCAAATTACAGTAGTAAGTGTAACTAGTTCTGCAATCTCTCAAGTCAACAAATCTCTGAAACGCAGTTGCAATAAAGCCAAAGATATTAAATAGTGTGAAGTCCCTGTTCTGCATGAGGGACGACTCCCCGGGTGCTGACAGCTGGACTTGTAATCGCAGGCCCGTAGGCGCTCTCCGTATTGTCCCCGATGACTTCATTCCCATAAGCAGACGAGGCCAGTTCCGCGTGGATGTGTGCGTGTTCTGGGAAAGTATGCTTAAATATTTTTTCAGTAGCATCACATCAGATTTGATCTGAGTATTTTAATTGCAGATGATGAAGAAAGAGATCTACAAAACGACCTCGATTACGGCAAGCCACGCTTCAGTGATGGTGTTCTTTAAGGCTGGAATTAAGCCGGAAATGTGGATGAGAAGAGATCTTCACTGAGGAACTTGAAGTGCTGCAAAACTGAACCATTTCTACTTCAGCGTTTCTTACTTTACAGGAAGCTGATCATTGCAAGTGACGAGTATACTCAAAGTCAGCGCAGTAACAGAAGGAAACAGTTCTGTACATATGTACATAGTTGTACTATTGCAGATTGTATTAAAACTACATTTTTGTTGTTACATTGAGCCAATTAGACTGTACCTTATCTGTAATAATCTTTACATTTAAAACCAATATTATAAATACGGGCTGAACTGTTTCTGCAATTTAGAAAACTTTGTAAACTGGAGAACTTGTACAGTTTGTATCTCATGTAACAAATACACTGTGGAAACAATGTACAGCCAAAGGACTCCTTTTCTACAGTAATACCTGTATGAGCAAAACTACTCCTGCTTTTCTCACGAGTGCTATGTTTTTGTATTTTGCAGGTGAGCTATCAGTTGAGAATGAAACTGAACACTTAAAAAAATTGCTCTTAATGTAACTGAGGAAAGGCTGTGATGTGACAGTCTTTGGAAGCAAGTACCATTTTAGTTCTCCTACAGTGACCAAATCTTGTAGCTAGAGCTGGAGATCGGTGATATTAGAATTTTAATAATTTGATACATCCTGAAAAAGTTGTGTAACTAATAGCTTATTTTAAAAGGTAATGTAAGTAATTCAGCACAGCCTGTAGGAAATCTTTGTGTATGTGTTAAAGAGAGCAAGTGTGTTAGTGAGAAAGAGAAGTCTACATCAGCGTTGTAGGAACCTTAATGGAAGGAACAACCCTCACCCTCAGTAAATACGTTATATGCACCGTTTCGCTGTCTCGAGCATCCATCCTGTGTCGCAGTCACTTGAGTTAATTTACAATTTAATACTTCGATACAGATCTCTCAACATCTGCCATGTTCCACGTTTTGATTTTCTATATTGGAAGGTTTGTAAGTTAGATACTTTTTGTATTCTGTGTTTAAGCACTTTCTGAATTTTATGGAAATTATTCTGTTGATCTACAGTAGTGAAAATTAAGGTTATTAACCCAACCTGCTTCTCCAAAAGGGCTACTGTGAAAAGAAATTGTAGGGCCTATGACATGGGTGATTGTACTTTATCTCTGTACTCAGGTTCCAATTTGAAGTAACAGTTAAGGTTTGCTCGATGCCAATTCAGTGAACCTTTTAAATACGTTTCAGCAGTCATACAACTTGGGTTTGTGTTTTTTGGTTTGTTTTTTTTTTTTTCCTACAGGCATCTTCTACCAATCAGTCTTAAATATACAAGAAATAAAAATTTCAGATCCTGGCATTGCAGCTCCAGGGTTTTATTTTTTGGCTTTGTTTAAGGCTTGAGCTCTTCATTCCATACTTCTGGGAGGCAGATGGAGGAATAGCCCTTTGCATGGTGTGATGTACTTTCAGTTGAAAATAAAACGCTGAACCTGCTCAGAATTAGATACCATACTAATACCACACAATACGTATAAACTTAGCATTCTTCAGTAAGTACTGTATTTAGGCACTACAGTTTTTCTGTTTGTCTTAAAACGTAATTTCACCCTGAATTAGGTGTTAACTTGATTCTTCTAATGAAAGCAACAGTTATGGGTTCTAATAAATTAAGTTGTTTAAAGTATGTGAGGCTTCTGGCTTTTTTTTTCTCCTTTTGACTACTTAAAACTGGATTAACTGAGGGCTTCCCAGAGGTTGGGGTATTCTGACACCTCCTCAGCAGTGGTTACGGCTGTTTGGGGCAGCGATGGAGGCGAGGAGCTCGCTGGGTGCCTCACACTTGCCTGTGTCACCTGCAGGGCAGTGCCAGCAGGTGCCAAAAGTCTGCTTCGGCTCCAGTACCAACACGGCAGGGAATTTTGAGCTGCTTTTACGGGTACGTAAGAATAACTTGGCCATGTCGTTAAAGTCTTCCCTTAAGTCTGTCAATGTGTAACCTCTGGCACGGTACAAAAGCTGCTTTGGCCAGTCCTGTGAGCCGTGGCTCCGGCGGTGCACGTCTTAGCGCCGCTGCTTTCCACCCCTTGAAGCCTGAGGGACTTGTAGTCAAATGACCAAGTTACTGAGAAGGTGTACGAGGTGAAGTTTACAACAAATGAGCTGCCCGTTGAGAAACGCCTACTCAGAGGTCAGTAACTTTCTGTTGTTATGAAATAAATTAGGCTGGCTTAGGGCGAGGAATGCGTGCCACAGGCAGGTGCTGCTGCTCACACCCAGCTCAGTTTTCGATAGATCTTGTGGCCGTACCCTGACTCAGCCTGGTGTTACCGTTCTTTCCCAGTTACGTGATGGGGAGATTGATCAAATTTTAGTTTAGCTTCTCATCCCTAGAAGATTAAACAATTTCATGTTATTTCTTTGAATCTGTACAAGTGTGATGCTTTTGAAAACAGACCAAAAAACCGGTCTTCTCCATCAAAAGCAGAATGCTCTGTTAGTGCTCAGGGACCACTTTTCTATATTTACCATCTAAGTGAGATGGTCAATGACGTGAAAGATTCCTTAATGTGTTTCTGTTCACTCTGGTTTTCCCTGTAACCTGGTTACTTCTGTAGGTGATACAGAATGATGTTATCTGGCATTTCTAGACAAAATCATTAGGTAACTGATGTTGGGAAATAGGTGAATTTTACAATTAATAGTCTTGCTATAACCGTTATGTACATAATCAATTTTGTACTATGTAAAACTTCTCTTGTATGCCTCAGGCTGTACAACAGTCCCGTGTTAGAAAAACTCCACATCATCCACCCTCGCTTTCAGTGCCTTTAACTGCCACGTTGGTTACCTCACTGCTCTGGAAGGGGCCACAGAAAGCTCATGAAACACCCGCTGTGCCGTCGCCTGCGCACGGTTTGAGCAAGGCTTAGTTCGTTCACGAGGCGGCACCAACTCTACATCTGCAGCAAGTGACCTGGCACGTGACTGCAGCAGTGACCGAGGTGACAAAGTACTCTGCATCTGCCTTCCCTGGAAACGGCCCTCGGTCTGCGCCCACCTCCCAGCTTAAAATCAGTTAGGCAAGGTAAGAAGAACGCACGTTTTTCATGCTCTTTGAAGATGGCAAAATGGCGAGATACCAGCCCAGATGGACACTTGCTCTCAACCAGTAGGCTTGCGTCTTGTGGTTTTCTGCTCTATTCCTTGAGAAAGTGATACTCACAGTTTTATGGCTTATTTCATAATCGGCCAAGGGAGGGGGAAATACAGTTACGGAGGAGGGACATGAACATCTGCCTTGGAAGAAAATGTCACCTCCAGTGTGGTTGTGTCCGCTCGGCAGGGCGAGCGGCGCTGCTGCTGCTGCACCCACAGCGCTCAATGGAGTTGACAACAGGCAAATGCTCCCAGTTCCCTTCTGCTATTCGAAACGCGCTAGGAGACTCGGGCAGCAAACCCTACGCACGGACTTGGGCTTGTTTTGCCTCTGTATTTTGGGAAAACATTTGGCTTAAGTATAGCCTGTATAGAAACACAGTTTGATCTTAGCGGGTATCCTTTTAAGGAATCTAATTTAGGTCACTAAACACTTCACCCTTCATTATTTAGTGATTCAATGTTTAAAGAATTTTATTTCTAAGGGGAATTGTTCTGTCAAACAAATTCCACTTCAGTTAAAAAAAAAAAAAGAGTGTATGTTCTTTTGGGAAACTGCCAATGTTTTTAGAGCAATGCTCCTTGCTTTTTTTCCATTTGATTTGTTTGTAGGTGCTTTGTTTGCTGAGCCATCTCCCCCCTCACACACACATGTGGCTGTTGCTGCTTCCCCCATCTGAGCAGTCAGTCCCGTGCCCCCTCCTCGTTCCCATTTCTCCTTCAGGCCTGCAGTTCTGCCTCGCTGCCGCCTCCTCGCACAATGCCGGCTGTCTTCCGGACCGCGTTCACGCCAGGTTCTTCCCTCACAGCCCTGCCTTGCAGCTCTCTGGTGGTGCTGCCTTCTCCTTCCTCTTCCTCGAGCCAGGCCTCCTCCAGCGCTGCAGGCCTGCAGCACCTCCTCTCCCGCTCCATACCTCACCTCCGACGGCTCTTTGCCAGCTGGGAACTGCTGCTCTATAGAGGACTTGGGATACTGGCTCCACCTCGGCATCTAACTGCTGGAGCTAGGAGATAAATGCCTGAATTACCAAGATGAAGATGCAAGACGACAATTAGAGGCGTCCTCATTTTTCAGGAATTCCTGGAGCTCCTCGTCCTCAGCTTCCCGTGAGATTTGTTCTTTGTACAATATCCTGGGAAGCAAGAAGTCCCACTAGTGTAATCCTGTTGCTTAATGCTGTACCTCCAGTGAAGCGGGGTAATGACGCTGGCTGTAAGTGGGCTACTGCTAAAGCAAGTGTCCCCAAAGGCAAAGTAGCGCGTCCCCCCGCAATGGGGCTTGCTTCATTTTTACATGCTGCTAAAGATCACAAACTCACAAATTATCAGTTCTGTGTTTCACGAGCCACTTCATATTTTTTTTAAAAGTGTAGTTTGCCAACTAGCTGAAACCTGTAGTTCTCATCCAATATACATCTCACCTCTTTTGAGAAGGTGGAGGGCTGAAGAAAAGAGAAAACTGTGATTGCCTTCAAGTACATAGAAGAGCATGTGCTGAACAAAATGCAAAAAATGCATATTTTCTAACAAGGTTCTATCAAACACTAGCTCACTTTTTAAAAAAGATTAAAGTATTAATCACTGATCTGACGATTCGCATGACTATACCTAATGTATTCAAAAGACAGGTTCTGTTCAGTACCACTATCGGCGTTCATGATTAAAAATAAGAATGACTAACCTATCTTGATTTTGTTTTTTAAAATGCAATTTTGAAATCCCTATGCCATTTCTGCTGAGCCAATACCCGTTTCCATGGAAATCGCAGCATACAAAACGTTGACATATTTCAGAGCGAGCGAGCTACTTCAACATCTGCTTCCCTGAAACCACCAGCTAGACTGTAGAGAAAACTGGCTCTCACATTTGGTGGAACTGGTTTACAAGAAAAATCAAACAAAGCTTCTTTAGATGACAGCCCAGCCCAGATCTTTTTGAGCAATCTATCCAGACAGCTAAAGCAGCACGCAGCTCACTGAATTCTTGTCTTAAGGCTCATATTATCAATGACTTTTAATCTACATGGCAATGTATTTAAGGTGTAGTCTCTTGAAAAAAGTAGCTAATAGGACCAACAAACCTTTTTGTATCTTTTCATCCAATTTTCATACACACTTTTTACGAACTGCGTGTCTCCTTCAATTCTGCATTGCTGCGTGCTTAGTGTTGTCACTGATAAGACTTGTAAGTGTGGTAAAGATGTGCACCTACTTCTCACCAAAGCCTAATTTCTAGCCACGATGGCGTGAAAAAGCCAGTATTTAAAATAGGATTCAGACTAAAGTGACTTACTGGCAATCGCTTTAGCCAGCCAGGCACAATGCCCTTCTAGAAGCCATGTTAGCTGGATTTTAATACAATTCTTGAGACTGGAAGAAAAAAAAAAAAGAGGAAAAAAGGGGGAAAAAAAGAA